ACCTGAATCTTACCTAAGATTAACATCTTATGACGTAGTGTGCGTGCTGGGCAATAACTAAATGCACTACAGAATGTTACGTTTACACACACACACATGTACAAATTACATGTTAACTAGCGCTGTCAAAATTAGTGCGTTTACGCATGCGATTAATTTAAAATAATTAACGCAATTAATGCAGTTGCAGGTTTTTTTTTTACTTCCTGTTGTGGTGGATGTGTGTTTAACATGCAATAAATGTGGATAAATCAAAGGAAGCACTTTTTGAAGGCAAGTTCCAGTATAAAACAATTAGTTGCATCACAGGTTATCCGGAGTTTCATGCAATTTCGAGTGTTTCATTTTTAACTTTCGACTTCTGTTGTAAGTTGATACCGCATGGCGAACAGAAAGAAAATCCTCTGCATTTTGTGACTCGGTGTTCCTTTAAGGTAATAAAATCGCTGCTTAGGCTACATGGTAGACTTTAAATTAGAGTATAATCTTAATCATATTAAAATCTGAGTAATGGTGTCTTATGTGAATGTACTCAAAGTCTGGTGAAGTCGCGAGCTGTCAAAGACAGGGCATTACTGTCAGCATGAGCCCTCCAAGTTTACCGTGTTTCCTCATTAAACGTAAAGTAACTACTTCCTCGTGAAATACTGTAATACTTTAGGACGCTTAGTTTAAGCAAACTTGATGAACGTGATCATGCGTGTTGAATCTGAGGGGAGTCACTCCAGTATGGAAGGCTGTTGGGGCCAAAACGTCTGCAGCGCGTTGTGTGTGTGTGTCTGTGTCAGGCCCGTTGGGGGGTGTCCGGGGTGGAGTGAGTGACGTATCTGAGTAGGGGCGTGTGTGCGCGAGACGTACCTGAAGGACGGTGAAATTATTATTCATTTGCGGCCATTTGGGAGTCTCTGTGCACTTGCAGAATACTCCTAGCAACTGGTTGAATGTAAAGGAGGATTAAGCAAAATTGTTTCTACTTAATTAATTCTTCTAATTAATGTTCTCAACTCACAGCAATAAAACTTTACAATGAGTGCAACAGTTTGTATTCTATAGTTTATTATAATAATTTTTCATTTTCCATATCTGCAATTCCAGTATTTTGGCATTTTTTTTGCAGTCCACTTAGAATCCAACATGGAAATCAATATTTTCTTTATTGGCATTGATTGTTTTGAAATTTAAATGTCATTAACATGCCTGTGTTTTAATTTCTGTAATAAATATGGCTGTCAAGCCAGGATCTTGATGGTTTATTGTGGGTATGTTGTTAACATGAAGAAATCTGTGTTACAAGTTAAGCAAAAATTCTATTAAACAATTATATTTTGAATTTTAATTCTAATAAACAATTATATTTTGAATTTAAATATTTTTTTTTCTTGCGTTTACATTAATTTTACATTTGAATAGCCAAAATTACAAGTTTCAGTATTTTAAATGTGATTAATCGCGTTTAATTTTTTTTAAAAAGGCGCAATTAATTAGTTAATTTTTTTTTAATCGATTGACAGCACTAATGTAAATGCATCAACTTTTCACAGCGTAATACTCACTACTCTTGAGTACTTTAGAAAAGTCTACTTTTTACTCATACTTTGAGTAATATTTACAACAGATACTTTTACTCTACCTGCACTACATTTTTAGACAGGTAATGGTACGTTTACTTGAGTATGATTTTTCAGTACTCTTTCCACCACTGCCCATATGGTGATGCAGACGTCTCCAAAACCGGTGGACAAATCTGAACTTGTTTTTATTAAAACAAATATAAATATGCATATATAATAAATAAAACTGCTAATAATAATAACATTATACAAGTGCAAATTGTCATGAATAAACCTGAAAAAAGCCCATCCGAGGTGAAGAAGGCTTGAACGTAGTGGTTTTTATATTAATGTAGTAAATAATAAGTTTCGTAACTTTTTAATCCTTTAATTTTGTCCATATGTACTGATATTTGTTTATTGCTGTACATCCTGTGTGTATTAAGCAATGTGTAAGCGTTTGGACCTGCATAGGCGCATAACTAACGCACCCTGCGCTGGAATTTGGAGTAGCTTTTAGTTGGTCAGTTGCACAGTATATTTCGGTTTATCAAAATATCAACGCACCAACATTGCCCCTTAACATATTTCTATTTTAGACCGGCACGCCCATGACTCCACAAAAGGGAGAAAATAGAGTTGCTGTTTCAAACAACATGACGCAAAACATGAAAATTAGGGTTGCGCTTGTCTGAAAATAGCCACAAATCACGCCGAACACGTCTTGCGTCTTATTGCGCCTGGTGTATGATAGGGCTCCATGTCTTTTATTTTTTCTCTATTCTATTAAATTTCGATTCCATGCAAATTCACTTAGAAAACAGTAGTGTGTGTGTGTGTGTGTGTGTGTGTGTTTGTGTGTTTGTGTGTTTGTGTGTGTGTGTGTGTGTGTGTGTGTGTGTGTGTGTGTGTGTGTGTGTGTTTGTG